TGGAGGAAACAGAAGAAATATAAAATACGTTTTACTCAATGTCAATTTCACTACAGTCCTCTGATGTTACTGTCCTTGCCTGATACAGAGGTTAAATGGTTTCTCCAGGGTTATAAAGCTTGTAAGTGGCAGAACTAGTAGTTAACAAAGGTCTATTTGACTTTATTTAAGAGATGAAGATGGAACACTGAATGCAGACAGGGTAATGTTCAGGGTAACTCTGAACCACCAGCTTATCTCATTATATACCCTAGAGGGAAATAATTCTTCCACTACCATCCCACCCCAAGATCTTTATAACCACATGTGAGCCCACATTTAAAGTTGATTTTGATTACCATCTTTAATTATAGAGGAAAAACCTACATATATTCAGTCATGCTTAAAATCATCTCACACTGACTAGGTCATGCTCTGTTTCTTAGCCACTCCTCATTCAAAATGCCCATCAAAATTAACAGTTGCTGATTTTAATTACAATAAGAATTCAGAGCTTATACTATACAAATTAATATATGTTCTTTACAATGGTGTGCTCAGAAGGAAAACCAAGTTGCTAATTATATCAGTGTGGTAGTGAAACTAGTTCTGTTCAAACAGGGTTTCAGAAGACCTAGGATCTCATCCCACATTTTCCGCTTCCTAGACGGTGAGCTTAGATCTGCCCTCCTGCCTTTCTGAGTCTGTGTCAATTCTCTGCCCGTTTGAAAACCAGGAGATAGTACGAGCGTGAAAGGTACTACTCATTCTATGACCGTGTACTTCTATTGCCTAGTGTTAAATATGTTAAAAACAAAGCCCACTATTTCTATCCCCAAGGTATTTACAATCGGATCGGCAGACTGCCATTCAAACAGACAGATTGTCCTTTGTTAGGTGTGGAAGCATGTACCTAGTACAATAGGAACCTAAAGAAAAGAGACTCTTTAAGTCTGCCTTAGAGACCAGGAAGGCACCACAAAGGAAAGGGTGTGACATGAAACTTTTAAGAATGAAAAATAGTTCACCTAATGAACTAAGAGGAGAAAAGGATTCCAGGCAGAGGGAAGACATGTGTATTGAAGCCCGTGAGTCATTTGTTTGAAAAAGATAGTACAAAGTAAGGTGATAAAAGCAGAAAAATAAACAGGGAACAAATTATGGAGAAACTGAATATCATGTTAAAGAGTTTATATTATGTATCAGAAAATTTTTGAAATTTGAACAAAATTTTTTTCAATCTTCTTGCAATATGAATCATTGAGACGCTGAAGTGAAAAAGAAAGAAGGGGGTTTAAGGCTAAGGGGAAAAATTCTGTTTGTCAGTTAAGCTATTTATTGGCTCTTAGGAACGCTGAAGATAGCAGTACAAATAAGTAGGGTCAGGAGTGGGCAAATGAAAAGGGAAATGAAACAAATAGAGCTAAGTATACCAAACTCACTGCCATTGAGTCAAAACCTTGTGCGTTTCCAAGACTGTAACTTTATCGGAGCAGCAAGCCCAGTCTTCCGCGGAGCAACCCGTGGTTTCGAACTGCCAACCATGTGGATCGCAGCCCAACAGGTAACTGCTACACCACCAGGGCTCTCTATGTAAGTACAGTCCAATACATTCAGGCTACAGGTCAACTAGTAGCACTATATGTTATCAGCTCAGTAAGGTAGAAATAGAAATGCCAACATATAATAAAAATTCTATTACCTTTGGTGTCCTAAACACAGTACACTTTCAGAGTCCACTGAAATGATCAGAACCATTCTTTATGAATAATGCAGTATGCTGGTATACAAGAAGAAAAATGAATTACATTTGGCACTGTTATCTTGTCCTTGACCTAGATTGCTTGTAGTTTCTCTTCTGCGCCTCATCAGCAACAACAAAAGCAAGCACTATCACCTATAGTTTGCTGAAGTTTATAATAGAGAAATGTGAATGTCTTACAAGGTCTCTTGCTCATGGTTGTAAGATAAAAGTACTACAGCAAAGGCAATTTTGTGTCTAACTGAAAATTCATTTCCAGTCAGATGAGCTTTTGACCTTAATCCTAGTTAGCATGGGCATTCATTAATGTCCGAAAGCATGGGTAGTCAGAGGCCTGTCTTCGTGAATTCTAGTCACTTATTGTACAATGATGAACGAGTCACTAGAGGTAATAATTCTTAGAATGGGGAGCCTGCAATAATTGTTAATAGTTTGATAGGAATCTGAGACCTTGAGAATCTGGCACTTTATAAATACGTTTCATTATCTTGTAACTTGCCTATGCTCTATTAGCCTACCAACTAAATTAAGGTCTTAAGGGATAAATAAAAGGTTAGTGGCAATTATGCTTTACTTTATCCATTTAAATAAAATGCTGTACTAGCCACTAAAATTCAGAAACTGTATAAGACCAAAAGATAGGAAATGGTAGAATTACTTTTTTTTTTTTTTATGGAACGCTTCACAAATTTGCGTGTCATCCTTGCACAGGGGCCATGCTAATCGTCTCTCTATCATCCCAATTTTAGTATATGTGCTGCCGAAGTGAGCACAGAATTACTTTTTCAAATCTCTCTTGGATGACTTTTATAGGAAATAGGAATTACCCTATCCTCTATTCTCTAGGTTCTTCACTTAAAGACAAAAATCAAAGAGCATGTTTGTTATGGTCTTTCAGACTTTCCTGTGAAGTATCTTCAAATGTTGTGTACCTGACAGGGTAAACCAGTGTTAGTAACATAGGAAAAGGTGTCTAGTCTACTGAACCCCTTTCCAAGGAGGCATCAACAACAAACATTCACTTTCTATGTTTTCCTTCTGTTTGATTCATTCATTAAACTGGAAATTAAAATATTGATTAAACTTCCTTCCTTTATACTGCAAGTGAATGAAATAGAAAAATCGTATTACCAATGGCATAAAGAACTCTGATGACCACTCACCTAGTGGCTGATACAGAGACAATTCTAAGGATCTATAGTTCTTAGTGGCCATAGCAAATAAAATAGGAAAACATGCCAAAGATAATCGTTTCCTTTCTTTATTTTCCAATCTTTCCTTGCCTCTAAAAATTCTGTCTTAAGCATTTTTATGTGCAATGCACTGCTTTAGGCACTATAGGGAATATAAGTAAAGATTTGTGCCATAAATAGAAATACAGAGGTACACACCCTTGTGTATACATGCATATCATACACACACATTCACATTAAAGGAATTATCTCTAAGATGCTTTGAGCTAGAAGAAATAGAAAACTCCAGCTCAAATAGCAAGAAGCTCAAAGTTAGGCAGCTTCAGATACTGTACAATCAGGGATCAAGCTTTACTTCACTGCAGTTCTCTTGGTTTGGCTTCCCTATTTGCTTGATATTCAAGCCAGCTGACCACATGATTATAAGAAGGCCAAAGCAATACTGGGTATTATAGGCAGATAAGATAATATCTAGATGCAGAAAAGGGCTTTCTTTTTCATGTACAGGTTGGGAAACTTAGCAAGTTAGCTAGAGGGGAATGGATGCCATCGGGAAACTTAGTGCAGGGGAGATAGTATGTGATAATGTGGTAAAGGCTCTATTAGGGTACGTACAATCTATAATGGTGGAACCAAAGAGAAAGTAAAGTACTCATCTCTCCTAGGCTGGATGTAGATGCTCATCAGAGAAGATTTCACTTAGGGAAGAGATGGTTATTCCAGTTTGGAACATAGTGAATATAACAATGTGATGATGGGACAGGACTGGCAGTGTTTTCTATTTCAGGCAGGGTCGCTGTGGGGTGGCACCTAACAACAAGTAGAGAAACCCACTGACAGTTGAGTATATAATGGTCTACGTGGCTGAGAAAAAGACTTAGGTGTTGTCAGGTTATAAGTGGTGGTGGGAGCTCTGAGGATCCAGAGAATGGACAAGATGGAACCGAGACTGAGACCCCAGGCAGTCTAACCCAATGAGACACACACTATCCCTCTGGTTCTTTGAGACTTCCTCACCCTCTACCCTCAGGACCCCAGTCCTGCCTTTCGGTTCTGGCTAGACCGGAGCATATACACTAGTATAGATAAGAGCTCTTGACACGCGGAATCCAGGTTAGATAAACCCCTCAGTAACAGAAATGGGAACAGCAATACCATGAGGGTAGGGGGAAGGTGGGGAGAGGAGAAGAAGGGAGAACCAAGTGCAATGATCTGCACATAACACCAACACCACCACCACCACTCCCCACGAGAGGGACGAACAACAGAAACGTGGGTGAAGGGAGACAGCGGTCAGTGTGAGATATGAAAATAATAATTTATAAATTATTAAGGGTTCGTGAGTAGGGGAGGGAGGGGGGAAAATGAGGAGCTGATACCAAGGGCTCAAGTAGAAAGAAAAATGTTTTGAGAATGATGATTGCAACCAATGTCCAAATGTGCTTGACACAATGGATGTATATATGGATGTGATAAGAGTTGTACGAGCCCTGAATAAAATGATTTCTTTTAATTTATCAAGGGGCCACAAGGGTGACGAGGAGGGAGGGAAAAAAGAGGAACTGATATCAAAGGCTCAAATAGAAAGTAAATGTTTAGAAAATGATGATGGAAACATATGTACAAATAATGCTTGATGCAATTGATGTATGGAATGTTATAAGAGCTGTAAGAGCCCCAATAAAATTTTTTTTTAAATGAATGAGACCCTAGGGGCAGGAACACTGGCACTTAAAGTCTGAGTGAAATTAGAGGAGCTGGCAGAGACAGAAAATAAAATGCAAACCTTTTCATGTCTTGTTGTCATCTTTGTGTGGGATGAGTGTAAAGCAGCATACAGTGGCATTTAGGTATGCTCACACATCTGATTTAGGTAAAGTTCTGGTAAAAGGTAGGGATATTACATTATCCATTATTTTCCCAGTGCAGTTGTGCTTCACCCAAAAAAAACTGGGAAAGAAAACAGACTTGCTGGCGGTATGACTGACCCGAACAGGTCTCTCACCCCAAGCAGGCTTGGTAATATTGAAACTTCTAAAAAGAATCTTTTCTCTCTCTGTTTGCAGGAGTGGTCACACATTACTTGCCTTCTGGTTTTCCCGCCAAGAGGGAAAGCTAAACCGACAGCAGACTGTTGAACTGGGGCATCACATCCTCAAAGCGCACATTTTTAAGGTAATTCGAGAAATTGGGGGTGTTAACATCTCCAGCACTATGTATATGAAGCTACTGTTATTTTGCTACACAGTTGATTCATTTAAAATATATGCTCATTCCTCCCTTTTACCATGTCCCAATTTTATGGGTTACTAAGCTTTCCAGAAAATGTCTATGTGTAACCATTTAGGTAAGAGGCATATACACATATGAAGGAGCTTCAAAAAGTTCATGGTAAACTTCTATCTTTCAGTTTCACAAACTTTTTGCAGCCCCTTTGTATACATATGTGCACTATGTTTGATCTGCCACGTCAAGAGGACAGTCATGTTGCTGCAATTGGGTGCAAGTTTGCACACTATCTTGAAGAAAAAAAATAACAGAGCAGTTAAATCAATTTTTTTTAAGTGAAAATTTTAGTATTTCTGGTGCTATGCTATGATTTACAAACTATCTGGAACCAACCATTTCTTCCCAATTCTTTTCCTGCTTCAGAATTGGGACACATTGTAATTTTAAACAGTTATCTGACTCAGACTTCCCCTAAGTGGTACTTTTAAAGATAAAACTTTTTTTTTCCACAGAGAAAGATAGCAGCTCCAAACCCTCTTCCATTGAGTTGATTCAGATTCAAGGCAACCATCCAGGCTGTAAATCTGATTGCAGTAAACATCATCTTTCTCCCACAGAGCAGCTACCTAGCCCATAGCACCACCAGAGCCCAGAAAATCGTTCCTCACATAGTCAAAGAAGTTTATCCATCCAACAGACAGGTTGAAACCCCCACAGTGACAAGTCCCTTATTTGAATTATACAGGTTTTCTCTAACAAATCACTATACAAAAACGACCTTCTCCAATGACCTTATGCAGTAGGAGAAGAATAGACCAAAAACACAACAGACACCGCATTTCATTCCAGTTTCAAACATTGAAAAATGCACTGCTGTTTCCACAAACTCTTAAGATCATTATTCTTAATTTAGATGGGAAAGTTACTTAACCATTAATCTTTTAGTATCACCATCTGCCTAGGATCAAATGCCAAGATGAAATTGGTGTCTGTCTTTGCTACACCATAAAGAAAGCACCACAATAGCTTAAAAGTGACATGAAGTGTCGTATGCCTAAGTATAACTTTATCCAGTACATGGAGGACCTGCATTTAAACCATACACCCCTGTCGTTAGCACAGTTTTATCTTATGTTGATTCAGACAACATAGTTGCCTAAGATAAGACTGGCTCCATGTGTGATTCAGGCCGTAAATACTCTAGTGATGACATGACGCCAAGCTAAAGAATGAAGACTTGGACTGTGGTTTCCCTGCTGCTGTGCTCTGTGGACACTGTTAAGTGCAGAGTGCTCCCTGGTGATAGGCTTTGGCTTCTCCTGAACTGCCAGAATTCTCAGTCCCCATCACCTAAGGGTCATGAAGAGGGAGACAGACTTTATGGTGAGACCTAGTTTAAATTAGAATTTCTCATCAGCTGCAACATCCAATCCTATTTATATTTCTTTTATATTTATATTATCCTATATCCTATTTAATCCTATGTATATTTATATTTCATTAAGATTAAATGTTCTTTGTTATATCTTCGCTCATGAAAAAGTATGTATTTTATCATTAATCACTTAAAAATATGAGAAGGTAGAGCATCTTAGGTTTTCTAGAGGAGAAAAATCAATGAAGCAAATACAGAGAGGGATTTATTTCATGAAAATGGTTTATGAAATTATGGAAGCTGGCAAGACCCAAGACCTTGGATCAAGCATCAGGCTTCAACTGACTCACATGGTTTCAGGAGCTTATGAAGCCCCAAGATCAGTAAGTCAGACTGCAGATTGCTGGCTCACAAGACTGTGGTAGCTGGTAAATCCCAGAAGCTGTGAATCAGACGGCAGATTGCTGGCTCATATCCCAGGATGTGAGATGATGAGTCAGATGCAGAACCGAGAGGTCAAGCTTTGTTGAACATCTATATATACGTATATATTGGCCGCAGGACACACACTCAAAGCACCTTCCCTTTCAACTAATTAGTTCGTCACATCAGACCACAAAATGAAGGACAATTGTGTACTTCACTGCCAAACCACTAAAAATCATGGCACATAACCATCACAGTCTATAATTCTGGATATTTGACTACCTATAAAGCCCTTTTAATCCTTTCTTTAAGACAGCTTTATTGAGGCAAAATTAGCATGCTATGAAATTCACCTATTTAAAAGTACAAGACAGCGATTTTTATCATATTGAAAAAATTGTGTCACCATTAGCACAATCTAATTTCAGTACATTTACATAACCCCCAAAATAAACCTGGGACCTCTCTAAGGCCACATTCTATCCCTCCTACCCCTGCCCCAGGACCTGGCAACTACTAATCCAATTTCTGTTTTCATATTTTTACTTTTCTGGACATTTCATATAAATATAATCATATAACGTGGTCTTTTGTATCTGTTTCACTTAGCATAATATGTTAGGAATTCATCCACATTGTAGCTTGTATCAGTGTTTCTGTTACTTTATTTATCCATTTTTTATCCATATTTTATTTATCCATTCACCAGTTGGTAGACATTTGAGTTGTTTCCAGTTTTGGAAACTGTGAATAATGTTGTCATGAGCCTTTGTGTAGAGGGTTTCTGTGTGTGCGTTGTCATTGCTTCTCTTAGGTATCGATAGAATGAATAGGTCATCGAGTAATTGTGGAGCCCTGATGGTACAATGGTACGAGTAGGGCTGCTCACCATAAAGGCAGCAGTTTGTAATCACCAGTGGCTCCTTGGGAGAAAGATGGGTCTTTCTATTCCAGTAAGGAGCTACAGCCTCAGAACCTCACAGGGGCAGTTCTACCCTGTCCTCTAGTGCATTAACTTGATGGCAGTGTATTTGGTTTGGGGTTATAGTAACTCTGTGTTTTACATTTTGAGAAACTGCAGTACAGCTTTCCAAAACAGCTGTACCGTTTTATATTCCCACTAACAATGTATGTGGGTTCCAACCTGACCAACTTTATTATTACTGTCTTTTTTATTATAGCTATTCTAGTGGGTGTGAAGTGATATCTTTTTGCAGATTTGATTTGCATTTCCCTAATGACTAGTGGTGTTGCACACTTATAATCCTTTTCAATCCTCTAATTGACATTGGGTTTAAAAAAAATAGATGTTTGTTAATTATGGCCAGGGATTGTTAATATAATTTGTAGTGTAGGGATTTTATTGGAATGAGTCCGGTCACTGAAAGGATTTGGGAGTGCTTTTGTGATTAGTTTCCTAAGTGCTACTTCTCAAATGTTGCTTTGGTGTCAGTCCTATAATGTTTTTCACCAGAACAGAACTCACTTGGTTCTTTTGCTCAAGCGGAAAAAGTAGACCTCTGGAAGGGATAAACAAGATACTTTGGAAATAGAGGAAAGAACTAGGAGGCAAAAGACATTTATAGGGGTATAAATGTAGGCATGTATGTATGTAAACATTAATATATAACAATAGGGATATAGGTCTATGCACATACATATATATATATATATTAAGTATTAAGGTAATAGACAGACATTGGGCCTCTACTCAAGCCCTCCATCAGTGCAAGAACTAATACCCTGGCATTCTGTGATGCTCACCTTCCTGACATGATCGCTGAAGACAAAATGTGTGTATAAGCAAATGTGGTGAAGACAGCTGATGATGCCAGGCTATTAGACAATATAGAGTCTGGGGTCTTAAAGGATTGAAGTTAAACAAGTGGCCATGTAGCAGGGAAGCAACAAATCCCACATGGAAGAAGCACACCAGCCTGTGTAATCATGAGTTGACGGGATCAGGTATCAGGCATCAGAAGAGCCAAAACAAACAATCATATCAATGTAAATGAGGGAGTGGGAGTGGATACCCAAAGCCCATTTGTAGACAGTTGGACATGCCCTCACAGAAGGGTCACAAGGAAGGAACAAGTCAGCCAGGGTGCTGTATAGCACAGACGAAACGTACAATACTCCTCTAGTTCTTTAATGCTGCCTCCCCTCCACTGTCATGACCAAGTTCTACCTTACAAATCCGGCTAGACCGAAGCAAGTACATTGGTATAGATAGGAGCCCTCAACACATGGAATCCAGGGCAGATAACCCCTCAGGAACAGTAATGGGAGTAGTGATACCATGAGGGTACGGGGAAGGTGGGGGGAGAAGGGGGTGAAAAGGGGAACTGATCACAACAATGATCAGTGTATAACCACCACCACCCCCAGGGGGACAAACAACAGAAACATGGGTGAAAGGAGACAGCGGACCATGTAAGATATGAAAATGGCAATCATTTATCAAGGGTTCACGAGTGTGGGAGGGTGGGGAAGGGAAGGGAAAAAGAAGAGCTGATACCAAGGAGTCAAGTAGAAAGAAAATACAGTGAACCCTCGCCACTTCGCGCTTCGACTCCCGCGGCTTCACTCTATCGCGGTTTTTGCGTAACAGCGCATGCTCTGTCATTACTGCC